GCCTAAAAAGGAAGAGAGAGGGGGGGGGGGGTTATTTATTTGCTTTTTGGAAGGTTTTTGGGGGGGGGACTCCCACAGTCACACTGGGAGTTTGGAAAATGGAGCCTGTTCTGCAAAAACGCCAACGATACTGATTTTTTTTCCCTGTCCCTGGGGCGTATGGTTTGGGGCTGGTCCCCTAGCATGGGGGATCTCCTGCCATCGCACAGGATTTTGCAAAGAAAAGCATTTTTTTGGGGGGCACGGTTCCTGGAGCGCGCTGGGGCGGCAGCATGGGTGCTCTCCCAGCGACGCCCGGCCGGAGTCACCACGCCAGCGGGAAAAATCCCGGTGCGGCAGCGGCTTTCCCAGGCTCCGCTCCCTATCTGGGCTGCAAACGCTGCACGTGGCCGATCCGAAGGCAAGGAAACCTCTCGCTGCCACCAGCCCCGGGATGCGGGAGGCGAGGGGGCATGCGGGCATCCCCCCCTGGCCAGCAGCAGGCATGCGCCGCCGCCGCCGCGTTAATCATTGCCGTGGCACGGAGAGTCCGGGGCCGGTAAAACCTTGGCAACGCCGCATGCCTCAGCCTCTGCCTGCTGCAAAAGGAGGAACATTATGTCCAGAAATAAACATCATATGCTTTATTATTATAGCCGCTGGTGCGGCTCCCGGAGGGCACTGCTATTAATAGGATGAACCGGAGGATGTCGCTTGAGCGGGGCCGGCGCAGCCCGGAGGGGGGGTTCACGATGGGGCCGAATCTGCTGTGGTTGTGTGCGAACCCACTGCGAAGCATCCTCGGGCTCGGCCGATGACCCATTCCCAGTTCGGATGGCCCCGGCGCATCCCGCTGGAACCTTTCCTGCAGGGCATGGATGGGGCTGGATGGGGAAGGAGGGATAAGGCTTGTGCCACCGCACGTGCCTTGCTCTTGCTCCCCCCAAATTACCGAGCGCTTATAATAACTGGTGCTGGGAGTGGGGTCTCCTCCATGTCGGGGCTTCCCCCGCGGTGTTTGGGGTGCCTGGAGGTGTTCCACAGCTCGGGCTGTGCTGGGAGAGGTTTTTGGGGACCGAGCATCCGTGACACGGCTGCAGGATGGAGCCGGAAGATGCTCGGCGTGGGAAGCGGCCGTGCGGTGCGGTGCCGGGCGAGTGGGTCCCTGGGGTTTCTGGTGGCCCCGCTGTGCCCAGCTGTGCCCGGCTGCCCCGTGCCCATCCGGCCCCGGTTGAGTGGCCCGTTGTCATGACAACCTGAGAGGCTGGAGAAAAATAGCAAGTGG